TGTGAGATCAATGAGACAAAAAAATAACACTTGAAACTTTACAGCAAAATATTATGAAGGTAAAAAAACTGTGAACCTTCACTGCAAAAACACTATGAATGTTGCCTTCACAATGTTTTGTTGTGGAGATTCAGTGTTATTTAGGTGGGCTTACGGGTCTCACGAAAGAGACTGGTCTCACATAATCATATGTCTATAAATATATAGACATATAATATCCTGAAAATAGACTGTTATACTGTTTAACCTAAAATCCCAATAATCTAAAACAGTTTAATCCAAATCTCATTTCGTTTCAGATAAATTATTTAGTTTTCATTTTCATACAACATAATTAATGTTTCATTGAATACTACACTTAGATGTCATTTATGTAATGTGTTTTTTATAGAAAGAGTTTTGGATTTAACGTTCATGGCTAGGGATCAAGAAAAGAAGCCACATGCATTATGCATACGAGGCCCGGCACAAACTTCTCCATTCCAAAAGCTTCCTTATCACCTTTGTCAACATTGAATTCAAACATCAATGCCTCCTTCGATCTCGAGGCTCTGATGCCTTATGTGGTCCACTTTCGTTCCACTTTGAGACCATTCCCGATGGCCTTCCATGCCCGGAAAACCCTGATGCCACCCAAGAGCTCTGGTCACTAGACAAATGAAAATAGTTTAAATAAGGAATTTGTAACGTAAAAAACTTATTAAAAAAACTAAAAGTTAATAAATAAACAATATTGTAATATTTATTTTCATTTAGTAAATAATCATATGTATAAATATATATTTAAAAAATATATAAAAATATGTGATGACTGATGCGGTGTGGTTTAGACTGCGATTTGATAACTCAATCACCACAAAATACGACTTAATGAAAATACAAACCGTACAACAAAAGTTTTAAATCACAATTTACAATACTAAATGAACGGTTTGACAATTTATATGTAGACCCTAATTTTATTAGGAGGAGACTATTTTTTTAACAAACTTAGGGGCCGTTTACCAAACACTTACCCGGTAAGCGTTTACCGACAAAATTCAACACTATCACTTACTTACCAGGTAAGATTTTAGTCCACCAAATTGGCAACATATGCAACAATTTACCCGGTAAGCGCAACCGTGGTAAGAGTCATCCCCCTCACTTACCGGGTAAGACTCTTGGTCCTTGCTTTGTTCTTACTGGGTGAGATTCTTAGTCCTTATCATATTCATTCGATAAGACAATGTGACTTGATAAACGTTTACCCAGATAAGCGTTTGATAAACAACCTCTTAATTAGCCCGAAATAAAATCTTGAGTTCATCATCATATGTCTATTGCATGTGATCATCCCTTATTTGTATGACTCGCGTTCAATCGTGCTATCATCATCACCATGTAATTTCCATTCTTTTTTTGCTGAACTCTATCGAAAACGTTCAGACGTGATTAATTTTTCGAACGATATTTTACGTTTTTTGGTTAATTTCGAGATATTTTTTATAGTTTTTTGTTGATGTTCTTCCTTGTTTTTCTAATGTCTTGATGCAATCTTTAAAGTCAGTACAACAAAATCGGGTTTATAGGACACTCGCAAATTATATAGGGGAGCGTTCAAATAAAAACCACTCAATTTGTAAAAAAAGGTGAAAACCTCATTCAACCAATCATAATTTTTCATTTTGTTCATTTTTTTGTAATTATGAGAAGTTGATTAACCATTTTTATTGTGAAGGGTGTTAATCATGGATATTATCATCTTCATTATTTTAAATTTAGAGAAATACATGAAACAGTTTCATTAAAATTTCATTAAATACTATATGAAACAATTTCATAACCATATTTGAAACAAATTCATCAAAAAAAAGTATTATATGAAACAATTTCATAAGATTAAACAATTTTATGAAAAAATTTCATAAGATTAAACAATTTTATGAAAAAATTTCATAAGATTAAACAATGAAATCGACGTATGAGAGTGGTTTGTATGGTTTTTACAAATGAGAGTGGTTTTCATTTGATCGCTTTTATATATATATATATATATATATATATATAAAATTTACTTTTTATTTTATTTTATATGTTGGTAAATATTATACTCCATTGTTGAAGAAATCTGTTAAGAGCGTATTTAAAATATATGATATATTTGATATATTACATTTGTTCAATTTTATATTAATTAATTTAATATAAATRTTATTTTATAATATATGGTCATAAACCAAACACATTATATGTATCATGACATATGTGGCTATGTGTAAAAACTGTCCCACAAGCAATTGTTACTATTTTCTATGTTTAAAGATAATATATCAAATATGAGAAAATCAAATATATGTTATTATTATCAACAAAGTATATGTATATAAAACAATTTAGACAAAACGTTAGTCGTATTTATTTGTCTTTTCTGTTCTACCATTTCGATTCTAACATGTCGTTTATTTATATATTTTTATATAAAAAATGTTTAAAATATATACGCATATTATAACATATACACGTACGCTTGAAATACTCGAACATGTAGGTCAGAAATGCCCAACTTGAGGAGAAATAAATCGAATGGAGTTTTTACAAGAGTTTTGGTTAGAAGAAAAGAAAGAAGGCAAATGATGCACTACAACAAAATTGGGTTTGTAGGACATCCGCAATTTCTAAGCGTTTCAATAGACCGCTTTATAGGACATAATTTATAGGATCAAAATATAAATTGTTATATCTAAAGGTGTTGTAATAGTTTTATATGATGCTTTTGGACGTCTTAACAAGTTTTTTAGGACATTTTTAGTACAAAGTGTCGCATTAACAACTTTATAGGACACTTTTGAGAAAGTGTCCCGTAAACTCAATTTTTATAGGACACTTTTGAGAAAGTGTCCCGTAAACTCAATTTTTATAGGACACTTTTGAGAAAGTGTCCCATAAACTCAATTTTTATAGGACATTTGTTTTTACATGACAGTTTTTCAAATAGTGTCATATAAAGTTGTTAATGAGACGCTTTATATTAAAAGTGTCCTAAAAAACTTATTACGACATCAAAAAACGTCATATAAACTTATTACAACGCCTTTAGATAGGACGCTTTATTTTTTTGATCCTATAAACTAAGTCTTATAAAAAAGTCTATTAAGACGCTTATAATTTGGAAGTGTTCTATAAACCCGATTTTTTGTAGTGAATGCTGACAAACGAGCCTTAACTTTGCTTATGATGGCTCTACCAAACGAGATATTTAACAACGCTGATAGTTTGAAATCATCCAAGGAAATGTGGGATGATGTAGAAGTCCAAATGCATGGAAGGGCAAATGCAATGTAGAAGCATTCAATTTATTACTCTAAGAAGATGAAATTTGGAAAGATATAAGGAACAAGTCCAAAGCTTAATGGCAAAACAAGAGACTTGGCTGGATGAATCCACCTCTTCTAATGATGAAGAAGCCCATTTATGCTAAATATGTTATGTGGCTAAATCCAGATCATTTACATCTTCTAAGGGGGCGTTTGGTTTATAGAATGGAATTCGATGGAATTGGAATTTATCAATTAAATTTGATTTTGAGGGAATGAAATGGAATTTGATGGAATTTGACCATACCTTGTGATTGCGTTTGGTTGCATGGAATTGGAATGAAATTCTTAACGGATTGGAATTTTTTTTGTTTTGTTCACGGAATTCAACTTTGGAATCAGAATTAGATATCAACAAATGACCTTTTTATGATTTTTGAATAACGGAATTGGACTAGTGATATCGCTAGCTAGTTATCTTGAATCAATTCCTTGATTACATATGTTGTCTATCGATCTCGTATAAATGAAGAAATTATGAGAGAGAGAGAGAGAGAGCGAGAGCGTACCAGATGGAGATCGAACCAGAGATCAATTAGATGAGATGGTAGACGCAATGTTGAATGAATTTGGATTAGGGAATGAATTTGTCGGAAAGGAATTGAAATCCGAGGGTATTGTCGTGGAATGTAAAATCTGTGAGTGAAGGAATTTATTGGCATTGAAAGGATTCCATCAGTTTTATTTCATGAAGCAAACATTGTATTTGGAATTTGGTCAAAGAATTTGGCCATTCCAATTCCTTTCAATTCCATCCAAATCCATAAACCAAACAGCCCCTAACTCTCTAGACCGTTTAATCTGAGTTTGTGTCGACCACAATTATCAAAGTTTGGAATTTAGCAAGATTTGTCTTTTAAAAATACTTGGCCAAAAATTCCTTCTGAAGATTGTGATTTTATTTCCTTTTCCTTGAATAATATAACCATCTACAATCTTATCCATAAATCTGAAAACTAAGAATCCTTCAGTTCTAACAACATGTGTTTCCAAATCCAATACTTCTGTATCAGAATTAGAATCATAAGCATTTATGATTTCTTCAAACATAGATTCTAAGATTTTGTTGATGAACTCATCAAGCTTGATTGATTCCTTTTTATCAATCATCACAAGAGTATTTTGTTTTGAAAGAATTATTTGATCTTGTTAATGTATTTTCAGAAGTAGATTCTAAACAAAATTTGATGTCACATGTATGACTTTTAGAATCAGACTTTTTTTTTATTAGAGTCAGATGTCTGATTCTGAATCTCACAACCCTGAACAAATGAATCAGAGTTGGTATATACATTTTTTTTAATATAAAGTGTCCCATTAGCAACTTTATAGGACACAATTTGAAATATTGTCCTATAAAAATAAATGTCCTATAAAAAATTGAGTTTATAGGACATTTTCTCAAAAGTGTCCTATAAAGTTGTTAACGCGACACTTTGTATTAAAAATGTCCTCAAAAAACTTGTTAAGACGCCTAAAAAGCGTCATATAAACTTATTACAACGCCTTTAGATAGGACGCTTTATATTTTGGTCCTATTAAATTAAGTTCTATAAAGCGGTCTATTGGGACACTTAGAGATTGAGGGCGTACTATAAACCCAATTTTGTTGTAGTGTACATTCATGAGCTTCATTGATATACTTTCAAACATACAATGATGATTTGATACAAGCAAAATAAAGTTCACTTCTAAAAGACATGGTAACAGAAATATAACTCACAAGCATCTCAAATAAATTTATGGATTATTTTGGAGATGTTTGGAGCATATGAACCAGTTTCTCCATATTAACCATGGATGAACCGTACGGAAAGGCACATGCCTCTTCAGCCTTCTTCTTCCATTCAATGGCATTCTTCCTCATCTCTTTTCCCTTCTCTCCATTCATCATCTCAATCACTAGTTTCGCAACTTCATCGCTCTTTACATTCATGTCGATTTCCATGGCGACCCCCCACATGTTGCATGACATCCAACAATTCGGTTGTTGGTCCGAAAAAAACGGCCAACAGATCATTGGGACTCCACTGGAAATGCTTTCTATCGTCGAATTCCATCCGCTATGTGTTAGATACCCTCTTATTGATTCGTGATTGAGAACATCTTCTTGGGGGCACCAACTAGCCAACAACCCTCTACTGCTTGTCTCTGCCAAAAACTCCGGAGGAAGCACAGAAGAGTCACCGATCACGAGGTCTTCTCGTACGATCCATAAGAATGAATAATTGCTCTTCGCGAGTCCCCAACAAAACTCGGCTAGTTGTTGAGGTGTTAGCACCGCGACACTACCAAAATTCACATAGATCACTGACGATGGTGCTTTGGAGTCTAGCCACTTTAAACATTCTACCTCTTCTTTCCAAAGGTTCGATTTGATGGATTCTAAATGGTTATGAACGATTTCCTTCTCGAGTAAATTCAAAGGGCCAATTCCGTAGCACGGAGGAAATATTGAAGAAAGTGTGTCGAAGATGTCGGATTCTAGTTCATGATAAGTGTTGAAAATGATGGTGGTAGCTGTTTTCGCTCTGGCTACTTGTCTACAAAAGAATTCAACCATGTATTCATCCCCGGGGTCGCTAATTCTAATGAACGGAGGAATATCTTTTAGACGTATACCGGGCATCGAAGGTATACAATCGTAGATCGTATCCAAATACCCGTTTGCTAAAAAACTCGAATCTGAAGATTACGAAAAGATAGAATTAGATTTCAACTTATCAACATAAATGATACTTCAAGTAATAAATAAGAAAATACGAGAACAATCAATCACATGTGATTTTGCACTAAATTTAACTCATGTGTAAAATCACATGTGATAACCGTTGACTGTGTTATGTAATCGCATGTGATTTCAGTGTAAAACCTCATATGATCTTGGTCATTCTCGTATTCTCTTATTTTGATGTTCTTGTTTGATCATTCGTCTCTTAACATGTGTGTTTTTGGTGTAACTTACATGTATGTAGATTGAACTTTACGTTTTGATGGTCATTAACGACACTACAACAAAATCAGGTTTATAGGACACTGTCGATTTCTAAGCGTCCTAATAGACCTCTTTATAAGACTTAGTTTATAGGATCAAAAAAATAAAGCGTCATATCTAAAGGCATTGTAATAAGTTTATATAACCTTTTTTGATGTCCTAATAAGTTTTTTAGGACACTTTTAATATAAAGCGTCTCATTAGCAATTTTATAGGACACTATTTGAAAAATTATCCTATAAAAACAAATGTCATATAAAATATTGAGTTTATAGAACATTTTCTCAAAAGTGTTTTATAAAGTTGCTAATGCGACACTTTGTATTAAAAATGTCCTAAAAAAAATTTAAGACGCCCAAAAGCGTTATATAAACTTATTACAACACCTTTAGATAGATTAGACGTTTTATATTTTGGTCCTATAAATTAAGTCCTAGTCTACTGGGACGCTTAGAGATTGGGGGTGTCCTATAAACCTAATTTTGTTTTAGTGCGATAAATTAGAAGCATATATATTTGATGAATGACATACAAATATTTTCGTGTCAAATATTGTATTTTAAGAAACAACGTTTTTTTCAAGAAAATATGATCCGGAGAAGGTCAAACGAGAATGTTAACTATTTAAAAGAATATGAAAAGACGGCCAAAATCACATGTAATCAGGTTATGGGAAAAGGTCGTGTGAATCACATGTGATTTTGTATGTGATATTAATGTAAAATCATATGTGATTCGACCATTCTTTTATTATCTTAAATAGGTATTGTTCCCGTTTCAACTCGGCTCATATATATATATATATATATATATATATATATATATATATATACATACATATATGCATATTGACATGTAGAAAAGTTGGAACCTTTAAGAGGCATCAAACCCTTATCCAAAAGATTAGGGTATTGCTCGAAACATAACAAAGAAGCAGCTCCACCGGTCCAGAAGAGTATCTCAGGGATGTCCATCTCCCTAGCGGCTTCAAGAGTGAAGCCCAAAACGACGTCAGCCACTATGTAAGTCACAGGTGAATCAGAAGCACTCAGTTTGGTAAGAAGAGCTTTAAATGGATCCAAAAACAGCTCATCCATGGCCTTGCATAGGGGTACCACCTCTTGGCTAGCATCCAGGTTCTCAGGTGTCGGAAGGCCATCGGGAATGGTCTCGAAGCAGAACGAAGGGATGCCGTTTAGGGCGTCGGAGCCCTGAGCTCGGAGGAGGCGTTGGTGGTTGAACTCCGTGTTGACGAAGGTGATACGGATGCCCTTCGAGTGAAGGATTTTGGCAAGTTTTAGGAATGGGTTAATATGGCCTTGTGCTGGGGCTGGTATGCACAATACATGTGGCTTCTTTTGTTTAGAACCCATGTAATTAACCTCTTTATCTCTATCTCTATCTCTAAAATATGCAAATACAAAACATATAGGGAGCTTTTTATAGACCATAGATGAAGAAGGAAAAGCCAAGTAACTCTCCATTCAATTTAATATGATAAAGAAAAGAAGGGCACTACAACAAAATCGGGTTTATAGGACATTTTCAATTTCTAAGCGTCTTAATAGACCTCTTTATAAGATAAGGGGTTGTTTGTTTACTTCTTAATAGTTCCACAAAGAGACAATCTCTGAATCGTTAAAAGATGAATCTTGTTTGGCAAAAAAAAAATCTGTCTCTTAATGATTCTAAAACCCTCTGAATGATTTTGTATCATGAATCTCCCTTAACCATTAAGAGCCCTAATTTTATTGTACACAATTACCAAACAATTATATTTCATTTTGCACTATATCATGAGAGCATCTTAATCATTCTGACCACTTAATCATTCTGCATCAAACCATTCAACAATTGCCAAACAGCCCCTTAGTTTACAGGACCAAAAAAAATAAAGCGTCCTATCTAAAAGCGTTGTAATAAGTTTATATGACGTTTTTTTGATGTCGTAATAAGTTTTTTAGGACACTTTTAATATAAAACATCTCATTAGCAACTTTATAAGACACTATTTGAAAAACCGTCCTATAAAAACACATGTCCTATAAAGGACACTTTCTCAAAATTGTTTTATAAAGTTGTTAATACGACACTTTGTATTAAAATATCCTAAAAAACTTGTTAAGACGTCCAAAAGTGTCGTATAAACTTATTACAAACTGTTTAGATAGGACACGTTATATTTTGGTTTTATAAATTAAGTCCAATAAAACAATCTATTGAAACGTTTAAAGATTGAAAATGTCTTATAAACCTACTTTTATTACGTACCACATATTTAAACTTTATAGACGTAGGACCAGATGTTAATTTTCTGTTTGTCCTCTTCTCCCTTTCCTTTTCAAAATGAGAGTATTGGAAGCAAAAGCAAACGAACAAAAATTCATTTTAAAATAGCCCATATTTAATTTAGCGTATTAACGTTCATTTCATTAGATATCACCAATTCCTTTCACTACAACAAAATTGGGTTTATAAGACGTCTATAATCTCTAAGTGTTTCAATAAACCGTTTCTTAGGACTTAATTTATATGACCAAAATATAAAGTGTCATATCTAAAGATGTTGTAATAAGTTTATATGACGTTTTTGGGCGTCTTAACAAGTTTTTGAGGACATTTTTAATACAAGATATCGCATTAACAACTTTATAGGAAATTTTCGTCGATGAGGATTACCCAGAAAAAACCAATGGTTCCGGTGGAGATACGATGTTTTTCAAGAAGATACCAACAAATCACGCAAAAAAAATGTATGGGTAAATCTATCATTGATTTGAGTTAGTCACCAACAGTTTACCCAACAACTTGGGATGATTTTGTAAATCACCCATTCAACGACAGATTTTTTGAGAAAAATGGGTAGGTAAATGTCTTTCATTTAGTAGTGATTCATCGTTTGGAAGAAGATAGTCGATTCAATCCTACTCCAAACGATCGAGTGAGAGAATTTTGTCATAAATGGGATGAGAAAGAGATTATTTCCTTATATACCATCTTCAATGGTTTGTACCATTTCTTGCACCAAAGATTATGTAAAAAATGTATTTCATTTTTAACATATTAAACCATTTTTTATTAACTTGAATATCAAATCCGCTATGCGAAACGACTAATTTTAGGACGATCACTTGCTTACCATTTGCTTTGCAGATAGCCCGGAGTCACCGCATTTGAACCTCCGTGGCCATAAGAAGCTTTTTATTCCTCATTGGATTTGAACTTGGGACCTTCTGTTACTTTTGACCTTTAAAACCAAGCTCAAACCAATCTGAAATCACCCTTATGGTTTATTAAATCATTTTTAACATCAAATAAAATATTATAAGTATATACCTTATGTGTAAGTTATATAAATTTTTAATCATATAAGTTAGAGCATCTTCAATAATAAAAAAATTTATTGTGTTTTTTATTTTATGTTAACATCAATTCAATAACTTATAAATCTCTTTTTTTATGCCATCATTTTTAATTTATTATTAGTATTTATAAAAATTAATATAT